CTAAACTTTCTCATCCTAAGTGAAAGTTGAGAACAGAGAACTCTTTTAAATAATAGGGAAAAACGTAACAAAGAAAAACAGAAACAAAAACAAATGGCAGCTTTGTCATTTAACCCAGAGGAAGACGAAGATGAGGATGAAGATAACAGAAATGATACTGATAGTGATGATGAGGTGGACCTTGAACTACAACCAGTAATCAAGAAGAAGAGGAAACTTGGTAAAAATCCAGATGTCGATACCAGTTTTCTGCCCGATAAAGACAGGGAGGTGAGTTTTAGTACATATAGTAGATAGTAAAGTTTTATTAATGATAGATCACATTTCTTTTGAGACCAGTTATCAATGTAATAACATTGATATTGTCAAGTTGTGTGTACTGCCACTATTTTGTGGTTGGAACCATATTCATACATGCACTAAAATGACAATAATATAATGTTTTATAGAAATTATATCCCACCATCATTTTACTACTGCCGTGTAGTCTGGGGGAAATTGTGAGTGAATGAAATCTGGATATGTTATTTAAGGCTTAAAAAGTGAGCTATATGGTTGGTGTATTGCATAAATAGACCACTGTATGCATAATGAAGACACTTAACAATCCATTGTACCAGGGATCATGTAAGAAAACCGTACAAGGTGTTCTATATCTACATCATAAATACTGATTAACATACTGTAAAAGGATTAATTATTCACTGGGTTTTAGTTTTGCTTATTTCGCTGACTGGAAATTGCGCTAAATTAAAATCCAGTGAATATATAAAATTTAGCATAGAACACTTTATCTAAATGATAAAACCGTGAATTTAAAACCCACTAAATATGCCTGAAATGGTAAATCAGCGAAATTTAAACCCAGTGAAAATTAGTCATTTTACAGTAATCATTACACATTAACCAAGCAATAATTTATGCAAGAACTTTTTTTTTAAATGCAACTTGGTTACCACTGAAAAAATAAATATCATACTTCAATCCAAATTTCAATTTTTCATAATTTATCGGCAAATTACCTGCGTAAGTCTTTTAGATTATACACATCTGTAACAATCCGTACCAGTACATTGTATTTGTCACTGTACAACTTTTACCTACCGAAGATCAGAACTGAATTATTTAGAAAAGTATGGTTACACTCGGGTGCTTTTGAATAGAGATCTGTCAACCGGTTTAAAAACTATATTCTTTATGAAAGGTTTTAAAAAGAAATTTGAACACATTTTTACGTC